CGCGTTTGTATGCTTCGCAGGAATTCCTACCGTGTCGATTGCAAATACCACTGCGTTTATCGGTGTCGATCTGGCCGGTCTGCCTAGGATCCTAGGTCATACCCGATCATTGGAATGGTGCTGGCCACCCGGCTCCTATGGTAAGTGACCTGAGTACATTGGAATTATTCGATACTTCAACTTTTTTCGAGGCAATCTTGAATTGAGTTTGCACTGACTTTAATATTTATATTATTTACAGCGAAATATATTTGCGGTTCGTGCCTTCAATCTCGCATGTACTATTCTTTTTTGACTCTATAGCATGTTTCTTTTCATATTTAAACATGAAAATGTATTGAGCGATCTACGATATAGTTTCTCTTCTCTTTTCCGTACTCAATCTCCTTCTCCCCTACCCTCCTCCCCCGTTCCCCTCTACAGCAATGCGGCTCTAAGAGGGGTTGGCGGACCTACTAAGTTGGTATCCGGAGTCGCCCCCGCCCAGCGGCTCGCAATGTTGGCCGGCCATTGCCCTTCCCCTCCTAGATGCCCCTTCATTTCCCGACCCTCCTTTCCCCCGCTTAATTGTTCTGTGTTCTGTGACCTGTGAATCGCTTTTTGGCTTTTTTTTAACTTAACTCGTGTAAAATTCTAAATAATTATCCTTATGGCTTCTGAGTTGTTCGCTATGTATAATCTATATGTTTTATTTATCCTATTGTACCTCCGTTTGCCAGTATTATTTTATTATCGATTCACTCTGTGCAGTAGTAACATATAAACTCCTCCTTCTATAAACCTTCATGGTGAGTAACTTCAGCTTCGTAGAACCTACTGTATTAATCTACAGTTCCGCCGTTCCGAAAAATCATGCGTGCCACCTTCACAAAACCCCAATTCTGTGGGACTGGCTGTATAAATCTACACTGAATTTAGCCCAATGTATCTTCTGTCGCTACAGTTCCTGCTTTGTGAAGCTTTTTATTGGAGCCCACTCAAAGTTTTCATTCTGAAGTACCCTTTGCTGCTGCAAATACGCCCAACGAAAAAAACCTCATGCCTTCTTCATGGTGGGTAACTTTGACTTTGAAAGGCATTCTGTAAAAGTCTAATGGGTTTGATTTTCTAAGGCCGATAACACATCATCTAGGTGCTCCTTAATCCTTACGCGGAGTGGTCTTGCCGTTTAGTCAACACGTATACAAACTTGTCACGGCAATCACGCCATCTGAAATGGCAGCCTTATAAAGCTTGCAGTAGCGCTCAAAAGTATTCGGCCAAATGCTTCTTCACTCGTACATTTCTGTCGTAACTCCTTTCCTACTGGATCGAGCCATGCGAAATATTATTAGGTTGATGCATAATTATTGCGGATTTTTTCACGGCTTTTTTTCTCTCTAGAATTTTAATATTGAGTTCGGGTTTTTTTCTAGAAATGATCTACTTGATTTCCTCTACAAGAATATACTCAAAAAATCATCCGCATACCCGCGAAATTAGGCTTAACTACTTCGAGCAAGATTGGAAGGTGGCGCAGTCATTCCGCGATATCAGTAACTTGTCGGCGATGGAACAATAAGCCAAAGCCAACCAAGAAATGGGATCTGCTCCTAAATCTGCCATATTCACCAGCAAAAACTTTTATGGATCATCTCGCCAACCTTTCATCGAAAAAATGGCTAGAGAATAGAAGTTACTTTGATTTGGATGACTTGATAGCCGATGTCAAGGCGTGGGTCGCCCGTAAGGATCAAAACTTCTTCGCTTTTGGGATCCGACTAACTAATCAATGGGAAGCAGTGCTTGACGTAGATGGTGAATAAGTTCCGGAGTAATTATTTGAATATGTCTTTGCTTAGCATTTCATAATTTTATAAATTTTTTTATAAATTTTTTAAGTAAAATTTGCTGGAAAAAAATCCGCAATAATTATGCATCAACCTAATAATATGTGTAGCGTGGGTACATTGTGAATATTTACAACTAAAGATTCAATATTGTGAGTATTCAAATTGATCTCTGCAATCTGATCACGTTCCGGATATCACAAGGAGCTTGCACTCAAAATCAACTGGAAATAGTGACAATGGTACTTCTAGGATCTCTTTTCTTTTTGCCATTCCAAGGTGTACGAGCGCCAATGTCAAACACAGTGAAAGAGAAAAATGCACATAAAGTGCGAATAAATGCAGAAGTCGCTAACTTAATTTTCAGTGATGTCTACTACCGCACCAGACACCTGGCTTTTTTTGTGCAATTTCAAGCCTTTCCGTAATTCACAACTTTATCCAGCTTACGTTTCGGCCTCTTCGCCTTCTTCGGAACTTGAAAGCCGGAAAACGAGCTGAGATTGATCCTCACGTAAGTCTAGGCAATACTCAAAACAGTCCTCTAATCTAGTAGACCCCTGAAATCGATCAATACAAGGGTGCTACATGGCCTACCTTGATCACAGAGACCAGCCAGGCTGTAGGAATATCCTTATTCACTACCACTCGGCTCACCTCATAAGAACAAAACAGCCTTCCATCAAAAATATGTTCAGAGTTGCCAGCAGGTTTCTTCTGATACTGATCTCATGACAGGATCATTGGACATGGCTCAAAGAGTCGTGCGGTCCAATGGGTATATTGGCTGCCACCAGGAGTCACAACGTGGGGGACATTTCACACATCGCAGACTTCGCCCACAAGCATTTGTCAATAAGGCAGGCAGCAGCGACTAGGTGTGATCTACAAGAGTCAGATTTGTGGAACTACCTCCAGATAGCCTCAGCCGCCTCAGCCGGGGGGTTGATCCAAAATCGTCTTCACCATTGTCTTTGTGACACATAAGAACGCATGAACGCATTGTGTGTCCCTTTAATCGGGGGGGGGGGGGGGGGGGNGGCTGCATGAAAGTTGGGGTCATTTACCGAATTCGATGTCAGACCTGCGATGCTGAGTATATAGGCGAAATAGGGTGCCCCGTCCATACGCGAATCAGAGAACATCTGGAGGGCTTAAGAAAATCTCGCATACAAACACCTTTGGAATGCATCGAACTGAGTGCCATGATGGTATCAAGTTCGCAATTTCGGTGGCCATCTTGGCAATAGGAGCAGACACCTCTGCACGGAAAACACTCGAAGCGTTTTGGATTGTCGCTAGGAATCCACAAATTAATAGAAAGGTAGAGTGTGTGGCCATAACACGTGTCCTCGCGCCCTTTCTCGACCTCTGCAAATTTTGAATTACGGTTAGGTCAGGAAGGAGGTTAGTTGCTTATTGTACGCAGAGGTTTCGTTCTTGAACGGTCGTCCTAGTGGTTGACCTCCGAGATCAAAGTAAGCCATCTAGCACCCTTGTATGTATTGATCGAGTCCAGGGGTCTTCTAGTTTAGAGGGCTGTTTTGAATATTGTCTAGAGTTACGTGGTCAATCTCAACTCGTTTTTCGGCTTTCAGGCTCTGAAGAAGGCAGAGAGGCCGAAACGGAAGCTGTATTAAGTTGTGAATCACGGAAAGGCTTAAAACAGCACAAAAAACAATGTAATTATGCCGAGATTAAGAGAAAGTCAAACATGGTCAAAACAACCTTGCTCTCAGTTATGCGGATGTTGATGCTTTGCAGTCAAATAGTGTTGAATAGTGTGAGATATGCTATGAATTAGATTCTGCTAAACACAGAGTCTCACGGGGCAAGCAGTGCCGCAAACGCCCCCTACACGTCAAGACCTAGAAATTATTCATTGCAAAAGCATGTATCAGTCGGCAATGATGTCCACTCACCATTTTGCGAGGTTATAGGAACCTACCGTAATTCCGGCATATGAGTATACCGACCACCTTCGCGGAAACGGCAGGCAAGGACAATGTACAGGTTAGCCAGGGGGAAGTGAAGTGGAATAGTTAGCATACTCGACTTTGTTTTTATTTGCCAGTAGCGAAAAAGTGATGAAGCTGAAACCATCACGAGTTTACCCACCGGTCGTCGAAGCATGCGAGCCACCTGACAGGCAAACTACTTCCGTACAGAGGCCACAATGCATCAAGAGACATCAGGATTGGAAGGACCTCGAGGAGATTGATTTTTTGAATGGCAGTTTGAATTGGTTCGAGTTGCTCAATGCCAATGGATAAGATGGGAGAGGAAGAGCCATTCAGTTGTGAATAATGATACGATTTGCCCTTGTGTGCCAATTACCCATTTTGTTGTTGAAGATGATAAAAGCGCCTTTACGCCCATGCGTCGCGGTCGAAAAGTCCAGTAACTCAGTGGCTTGATGCGTAGTTCACAATTGAGAATCTTGCAAGCTGAAATCAAGTCAGATTGTACCCGCCAATAGTGCACTTCTTTCAAATCTAGCTTCTGGATTCTAGCTTGGTGTGGCGGCAGTGCTTGTGGATATTCACTGTTTGGGAATGCTTGATGAAACAGAATTCTCTTGAATACTTCCAGGACATTCTCACTTTCTTAATATCTATGACCAGGGCATAGCTCCATACAAAGCTGCAATACCCGACTGTTTGGAAAATGTAAGTTCTATAGAGCTTTATCCACAAGGTAATGTCCAAAACTGTTCATAATTTTGAGTAGTATAAAACAACTCATTTAAAGAGTTCCAGGCGTTCTGGGTCCTTGACAACGTATTGTGCTGTCGAGGGCTGGGAACGTCGATTTGGTGAAAGTTTTTGCGAAGTTGCAAATGTGAAAATAAATCGCTAGATAAATTTCTCCAACTTTCGATAGCGTATAATCCTATGCCTCATTCGCAGTACTTGAATATAATTGGAGGAGATTCCGGGAATGGCGGAGCTGAATTTATCCCTTTCGTTCCTTTTGAGCCTGCCGGGTTCAATATAACATTAAGAAAAATCAAAATGAAGTTCGGAATCAGTTTGAATTTCAAAAAGAGAGCCCAAACTGCGATAGTGCTTTCTTCAGTCATTAATGACTGCACTGCCATCATTGAGCTAACAATACGCCTCGCATCCGTTCTAACACAAAAGTCCATATGGCTGTTTTCATAATCCGCCGATGTGCGTGCCGGCGTGCCGAGGCAGCCGGTCAGTCGTGAATCATAGCACAGATCTCGACATTCCAATGTCCGCCATAGCGCAGTGCTAAGTACCTATTATACGGAACTACAGACCTATTGTCCAGTGTTGTGTTGCCGTACTCGACGATCCTGTTATCGTTTGGTCGCCGATAATCATAGTAGCCGTTCACCTCCATATTCGTATACTCTCGAAACGGTTTGGGATACCCTTTTGTACACTGGCCATTTACCATACATGGCGAACTTGGGTGAGCTAGACCACAAGGCCTATGCATCATGCAAGTCGTTACAATACGAAGGAGTCGTGGTTCCGTTTCAGGATCGGGTATTACAGCTTGCACAATAGCATCCACTTCATCGGCACTCCTTCGCTTCTCGTCTCTGGCCAATGTCAGTAAAATACGACAATGAGAAAGCCCTCTTTTTCTGCCACTATCACTCTGATGTGCGCAATCACAAATCCGAACTTTCCGTTAGAAGAGATCTGTGTGAGCTCTTGCAATTTGATGTGGAATACTCGGGCGACACTGTCAGGACGATCAGATGCTCTTTGTCCCTGACATAACTGTTCTACTATCTCCTTTCATGCCGGGTTGCAAGTAAATGTAATGAATAGATCTGGCTTCATATTTTTCAACAATTGCCATAGCATCTTGATAGCTTTGCATCACAGCTCGAGGAGATCCAAGAAACGACGGAGGCGGAATGATCTTCCTCGTCCCTGGTAGGCCTGCGATCTCTGTATCTCCTGCGACATAGTCAGTCAAAGCGCGGTATGTGTCTACTCGCAGTTTCCTTTTTGGTGTGTTCTATCGTGGCTCAGATGATTTTGCTCGATTTTCAAATAGCTGTCTACCAAAATTGTTGATACAATTTGCCGCAGAAGTGTAGAGGATTGGATCCCGCTCTTACAGTTATCACATCAGAATAGTACTCTTTCTTAGTTGTTCTTGTTCTTCGCCGCTCTGATGTGTTTTTTCTCATGTTTGGGTGCCAGCCAAGCTCGCCACGAGGAAATAAAATCGGGTGGGAAAGTAGATCATATTCGGCATCATAGACGCGGATATTCCGCAGGCCTCCTGATCGTAAGTGCACGGCAAGATTGTGTCCAGCTGACACGTCCCCTCCTTCACCGACGTATACTACAGCTCCTTCGTTCGCGTCGGCTCGTTATTGCGACGAATTCAAATTCGAATTTTGAAAGATCATTTTCACCGGCAGCGCTAATCTTCCTTACCTTGCACCTCGAGCTCCCCTTAAAGAGCTATATCGTTAAGCATTCTGTATGCTTGCGCGAAAGCATTAATCACACGAAAAGTGTGCTAAGCGACCGCGTTAGTCTAGGGTTGCAACTTATGTTAGCTGGAATCTGCTCTTTCATCTGCCGCCATTGATGTGTCAAAAAAGTACCCCTGGCCGTATCGCGGCGGCTCGCCTTCCTCTAAGCGTGCAGGTCCAATTCTGCGGTAAAGCTAACCATGAATGCGAAAGCAGTAAGGGCCTCGTTATGGAATATGCAGCTTAGCTCCAATGGATGCAAATGCAAAGGGACTGTTGTAATTGCGGATATATCCACGAAATTCCTTCGCCTCAGCATCTCGACCTGTTAGTAATCGACGCAGTTCCTCTGGGTAGTGGGTGGAGTGTTCTAACGTTGTGCTTCCATGATTACAACAGTCATTGAAAGTTCTCCTGCCTTTCGACTCGGAACTGAAGAGTTTGGCTCCACAGCTCTCACACTCAACATTCATAGGCCCGTCATAGTGCTCTTCTAGTTCGATATTAGAGCGGGCTATAAATCTAGTCCTATTTGCCGTTATTCCAGCTCCTATCTGTTATCTCCGAAATCTCCTTCGTTCCGCTTCCTGAGACTGCCGTGCTCTCCGCTGCTCTTCGCTTTCTTGCTCTCTTTGCACCCTTGCTCTCTCAGCGGCTGTTTACAAGTCTGCTCTTCGCTGTTCTTCTCCTTCCTGTTTCCTTTGCATTCTAGCTCTCTGAGAGTCTGCAGACATCCGTATTCTCCGCTGCTCTTCGCTTTCTTGCTCTCTTTGCATCCTTGCTTTCTCAGCGGCTGCTTCCAAGTGTGCTATTCGCTGTTCTTCCCCTCCCTAATGCCTTCGCATTCTAGCTCTCTGAGAGTCTGCAGACAGGGGTGCTCTCCGCTGCTCTTCACTTTCTTGCCCTCTTGGCATTCTTGCCCTCTCAACAGCTCTTTCCCGACGGACTCCTTGCTGTTCTTCTCCACATCTTCGTGTCCTGACGGCTTCGCTTTCACGCGAAAGGCGACGTTGCTGTTGAACCTCCTCATATCGTGGCTTTTGCGATCTTGCCCTTATTGAACAGTTACTCTTCATTTGTTCTTCTGATATCTCGTTTTTCTTTCTTTTTTTCGCTGCTGTTGCTCTTAATTGTTTCCGACGTCCTCTTACAATTTCCAAATGACTTCTTGCACGTCCCCTCGCTATCCTCTGCAAAGAAGGGTTACATTAGATGAAAGAACAAATTGAGTTGTTTAATGGCTTCAGGATCAAAAATTGGGAGTAAGAGGATGTTAGTCATCTTGCCTTCAATTCCAAGGTTTCCATTTGCATTTTCTGTTCATTTCTTATTTCTCAGCTTCTATGTTTTTGCAACGACCTTGAAATTGGTAGGGCAATTTTTTCCCTTCTCTCACCTCAACGAATGGAAATTGTTAGAACGTTTTCTCGCACCGAACACTGTCAAATCCCTACTGATACAATGACAAACTACGACGAATAGAATTAGCCACAGTCCTCCTCCCTGCCCTCTCTCGCCTGAGATTACCCTTACTATATATACATAAACCACAATTTGTCAACAGCATGACAATGTTCACATCTTGTCAAACACATGACAATGTTCACTTCTTGAACTGTAAATTGGTGTCAACTGTTGAACCTTCAAGATCGTCTTGAACGGAGCTTAGGAAGACCTTACCCTACATTAAATGAGTCCTAGTTCCCCTCATTGTCAGTGGCAAAACTATAATCGCAACATTGAGTAAAATCTCAATCGAAAACCACAAACGACAGATAATAGCACTCCATAGCGACTTCATTGCGATTTGTAATTTGTTCCTGAATTGTCGCTTTTCTCCAGTACTACATACTACGCTCAATTTCACGAAACAGCATATACTTCCGACCAGTTCCCCTTCTAAGTTTTTTTTCAAAAAATCTAAGAGCGACTTATATGAGCCCGGTCTGGCATATATAATATTCAACTTCTCTTCTAATGATTACTCAAAAAGAAGGATATGTGGAACAATTTCCTTAATGGTTATTTCCTGAGATTTGCTCCCTTACGTAACACTGAACTATTTTTATCCCTGTTTTATACTCGTTCCGTTCTAAATTCTGAATCTAACCCATCTAAGAGGTATCGTTTCGGGCGAAAAATTGAAACTTCAAGCGGAAATAACGGCTTATGATTATGCAACGCTACACTTTGAAAACTTCCAGTCGTCTGATGCTCCTTAAAGATACACACTTAAACAGAGGTTCCGATTTCGCGTCAAACCACTCTTCCCTTTCCTGCTATGCTCATCTAATTACCTGATACTGTTTACAAAAGGAGGCTAGCTGTCTTTAATGCAACGGATAGTAAAAATTTTTATGGTAAGAACAAACGCAAAATATAACGTCAAATGCACAAATGATGCACTCAAGAAAAGTATCGCACCTTGCAAATAAGCTATCGCTACGAAACGTACAGGTGAGAAACTGATATGCCTTNGGATGTGATGTTGAGCCAAAAACTGTAATATTAAAGTGAAATATTAAAATGAAAATCACTCCGATTTCGAAGCCGCGACAAAAATAGTTTGAGAAACTTGACTTCGAATGCAGCGAGCTTTCATGTAGCTGTTGGCTCAAAGATCGTAACGCAAAAAAATAAAATGACCTTAGACCTTGATCAATTAGCATTAGGTCATGAGTGGTGAAAAATGTCGTAGAGAGTGAAAGTAAGTCAGCCTTGAAACAGCCAGGGCATTGAGCTCAGAGTGTCAGAGTTGCATGTTGTAGCGAGAAGTTGGTTATGATTTCAATTCTTGGATTTACCTGGTTTGAGCTATTTTGTCGAAAAGAGATAAAGAACGAACGAAACAGAAAGATAAAGAACAGTAAAAATTCGAAGCAACATTCGTTATTAAATTAATTAGCACTCATGATCTGTGAAAAGTGAGAGTGGTACATCATAGCACAAAGTGGTGCAATATTTAGAGAGTCCTACAATTATCTTCATTATCCTTCAGTATAAACACATGGAGCGGCATATCATAGTGCTTAGTGAAAGCCAACACAACCCCACGCCACGATTTCTGAAGTACACTACTGGTGGAGTGGTATATCTTACTGCGAAAGTCGAAGAGTGAGTAATATCCCAAAAAGAGAGGGTTGTGCAAACGATGTTAGTAGCTCGGCAAAGGATGAGTGGATGCATCTGGTCACAGAACGGGATAACTCGATGGGCCTTAGAACGGCATTCGGAGCACAGATCGTGAGTCACTGTGAAGCTGTGGTTCAGTACACTGCGGCTGATTCCTCGAAAACAATGTCAAAGAGCCCAGTTGCGGGCACTCGTCGATTTTTTTGTGTTGACTTTTGGAGTGAGTCGAACAACTGGTAGACAAAGGAAATGCTTTTTGAGCACCGAACAGCAGATTGGGAGTAGTCGCTATTACTATCGCGTTCTCGGACAAACCGCAGTTATTGACGTTGACGAAAAGAAAATAAAATCCAACATCAATTTTTTCACTAACACCCATTTTTCATGTATTTTATTCAGCTCTGCACTTTCCAACGCTAGCATATTTGGAAAAAAACGGTGGCGTATACTGATATTTCATAGTTGTCCAGGTTGTTGCCAGAAAAAGTGTCTCAAATTAACAGTATTTTTATTGACACCCTATTTTTATGCATTTTGACATCTCTGCACTTTCAAACGGCAGCACATTTGGAAATAGTAGTCGAATCAGTGGCGTGTCCTAATGTTTCACAGTTGTACAGGTTACCGTCAGGAAAAGTATGGCGAATTGGTAGTCTTTTCATCGACACCCGATCTTTATGCATCTTGGCAGCGCTGCACTTTCCAACGCCATCACCTTTGGAAACAGAAGTCGGATAGGTGGCGTATACTAATGTTTTACAGATGTCCAGCCTGCTGTCAGGAAAACTGTTGCGGGCGGAGGTGGAGTCTTCTTGTGCCGCCTACTACAGAGAGTTCATTCTACCATCTATCACTTCCGTTCCGAACGCTCTAAGTTCAAGAGAGCAACTTTTGCTCACGCCTTTACCCCAGTGGGCAGAGTCTACATCTGCCACCTGCCATTAGTTTCCCAATCTTGCCGCCTGCATCTCTGCCAAATTTGAATACTCTAGGCCCAGCAGAACAGGAGGTACAGATTTCTGGTGAACTACACTTTTCGCGCGTGGGCGGAGCCTAGCTTGGGCCACATTTGCACATGGAGTTCGGCTCATTCCCCATTTTTTCATCCCCAATCCCCTTTTGTTCCAACCTGTCTGAGCTGTTCCAGTTGATTTCCAAATGGCGCTATATAAGACAGTTACAGACAAACAGACAATCATACAAACAGAAAAACATTTGTGAACACATTTGACATTTCGGGTTTATATATAACCAGGCGGCTACGCACGCTATTGCGTGCGCAAGGGGCTCTAGCCATTAGGGACGGAGCCAAATAAGCTCCTGATTTTCATTATAAAGCATTATCATCTGAGCCTCTACCCTGACACTTCTGTGGCGGCCATCATTTTTTCGAATGTCAAATGAGGCTGCTTGTGGCCATGAAGAGTACTGCAAGTATCCAAATCAAACACCTCTGCAGTCCATGTAGTCGAAGAAATCCTGTGTAGTTTGGGCTGTGTATGGCCATGAACACCATCTTTGAAGGGAAAGCCCCTTTGGGTGGTTGTAGGGATTTACACGTCTCTACAGGGTATGCACCTGGGTAGCCGTGGTTACTGTAGAATTTATTTTATGGGCACAGGGCTAATTCCAGATGACCATAACTGGAGAATCAAAACCCTACACAAAACTGTATCAACCAACGAATAGAGCACAAGTTGTGCAAATGATAATAAATATGAAGCCTGCTACTACTTCAGCCAAAAGTTGCTTACCAGGGAAGGATCCCAAGTCGAAGTGGCCATTTGAAATGGGAACTACACTGCTAGACGTGTTTTTGGATGCTGAGTTCAGATCTGCACTCCAAATTTGCCGAGCGTTTCTCTCAACGGAGTTATAAGGGTGGTTTCAGGGAGCTTAGCATGAGAAAACTTAAATTACATGGATGTTCCTCTCCTCTCAACGGCGGCTTGGTGCAGTGGTAAGCGTGACGCTTTATGGGCGAGAGGCCAGGGTTCGGATTTTTTGGGGGACGTCAATTTTGAATTAGATAGAATTTTTCCTTTAAGGACTTGAAAATACCCTTATGGTGAAATTATCATGTTTTATGACCTTTTAATGCCTTTGCTGATACCTTCTCCTACCTACCTACCTGTTACCGTGTGGGAGATTCCTCCGTGCGCAAAAGTTGCAGGGCCGGGAAGGAAACTGCATATGATGAGCAATGATGATGCTAGGTGGGTGTTGATGCTAGATTGGGTGAGATGGTGCATAGCAGCTCCGTACTCACCAACACCGGCGCTGGTGATAGTGGACTCGAAGACCAGAAATCTATCTCCTCACCTTCACAA